AGGGGGCTTATATCCGGTGGAGCTTATAACCGAAAGCAATATTTTGTTTACAGGTGGCCGATAGGACTATATAACCGGAAGGGCTTATAAGCGGGAGGGCTTATAAGCAGCAGTTTACGGTATAAGACTCTACTTGAAAAAAGTCAACTTGCAGAGAATTATCGGTTTATTAACAGTCCAAGCCATAGGAATCTGAAAGTTTAAGATTAAAATCAAACATCTTTTTTATCGCTGACATAATTAAGCTCACGGTAAACTGTACAGATGCAACTTAGTAAACAAAAGAAACGTCTATAAGGTACTAAATGAGACAGAATGAATTTTCTCTTTTTTCTCCCGCCGCACATGTTGAAAGGAAGGAAAGAAGTGTCGGAAGAACACGAAGAGCAATAGCTCAGTTTATAAGGTGTTTATTGAATCACATACTTGGCTTACTTTATAAATTCCTTTGGTAATCGGTCCGTTAAAGGCCACTAGAGTACTGTTCTTAATTTTCCCTCGACCTGGTCTTTCGATTTACACAAACGTCCTTACACAAGCTTCAACCTTCTTCCAAAATCTTACTTCCACAACATTTGCTCATATTACATCTACCGTCACCTCTATAATCAATTTTTACAATCATTTTACTATCTTACCACGATAAAAGATGGGCCTAATCATAAATTATGAATACATCAGTGATGATTAACTTCTCAGCAGTTGTAAGACTAGCAAGGTTATACGATTGATCTCTATCTAGAGTAGGTCCTAAAGTAAAAGTAATCTTCATCGAATAAAAGCCAACTTTTAATTAACTTAATGATATAAAATTTAACTCTTTTGGCTTAAGGTGAAACACACCCAAGGCATTATTCATAATTTAAAACCAAGCCCACTAATAGCTTATTTATTATTAAAAAGGTAAAACCATGCCCCAATTTTTCTTAAACTTGGGTTCCCACTAAAATCATGAGGTGGTACGTATCTCTTATGCTGTCACCTCTGGCAGACGTCAAGTCTCTCATTAAATTCATCCCAGTATTTATCAAAATACTACTTGTCACAAATAAATAAACCTTGTTTTCAGTTTTAACTTCTGGAATCTGTTGTAACATCCACAAATCGCTAAACAAAACATAAAATCACAAGTGCATACGTCATTCGCAATTTCAAATAAAAGTAACAAGTTCTTTGTCAATTGGAAACATGACTTCGGTGATCTTCGTTGATCGGAGACATTTCATTGACAGTGTACTCAGTTTCGAGCCAAAATATAGTTCAGTCGCCACCTTATCACAATTAAAGATCATTAAATAATCTGGCTGAAGTTAATCAGCACTTGTTCGAACTTGTGCAAGTGAAACCGGCTTACTTTGGAAGCTGTTGTTTGCCGTTCAGAATGCAGAAGGTGACCTTTGTGCTACCAATTGTATTTGCCACCTTGTTGAAATTGACGCTTGTTCATGGTGAGTACATTTTCAGAACAGTTCACTTTACACCTTCCCATGGATAAAACCAACGCAAGGTCATTATACCTTACACAAAGCAAAGCGGCGACCACATTCGATATTCTTTCGTTGAAATAAAACAAAGCAGTTTGAGCGTCTTCGAAGAAACTTGCAACTGGTCTAGCAGGACTTATAGTATTATATCGAGACAATTAAAGGGAGTATTGCTTAAAGTTCACATGTAAATTTTTCTGTTCTGTCCTCGTGTACCGGTACACAAGAACCGATACAAACCAACCAACAATATACAACAGCTAAACAAGGGCTCGTAAAGAAAGGAGTACAATGGTCTCTGGTAGACACAACGAATTTTTCTTTTAGTGAAAATATTGTCTACGCGACGGCGTGCCGAAATTGCTTGCCTTTATTTTATCTGCCGGTACAGGCGTTTAATATTGGTGGCATTTCATTGGTTTCAATCGTTAGCCAATTTTGCGAGGTGGTTTTCACGTAACGCATTTTCCCAAAGCAGCAAGTATTGAGTGACGTCGACCACGCATTGGTTCTGATTTTTTCTTCTTCGTTACTTTCATTAATTAGTTGACGCGTTACAGTGCGTGAAGTGTGATTCAGAGTCGAGATCGTGCGCGATTCCTGAGATCGTGGACTGTACCGGCAAGTGCTTCACATACCACTCAGTGGACCAGGTTGGGGGCACGCTAGTATCTGACCTGCAGAAAGGATGTTATCCTAAGGAAGACGTAGAGATTTCGTGCAGTTGCGAAGCTTGTGACACCTTTCAAACAATGATTGGAATGTTTACGGATGGTGAGGTCGACTGGAGTTGCAAGCACCACTGTTGTGATGATCGAGATGAATGCAACCGTCACTTGCACGCGCCGACTTGCAATGCACATAGCGCATATGGTTTTTGAGTAATAGAAAATTAAAATCACTCAACTGAATTCCAACTTTTGTGTTTACTTCTTGTATGTGTGTTCTAGGGCCCCTTTAAGGTAAAACCAAGGGGTGAATGAAACGAGGTTGTTGAGAAAAGAAAAAAAGAAAAGAAAAGAAAAGAAATAACAAACCCTTTGACACTCAAAGCTGCAGTTTGGCATTTAAATCACACCTATAGATATAACTGCTGAAAACAACACACTACTGCGTCTTTCTCTCCTGAGATCTACGACCCTATGTCAAAAGTCAATCCAAACAACTTCGCTGCTTCTTAGCTGGGCGTACGCGCTGGTTTTTCAAGTCGGAGACAACACTAAGATCACATCTAGTACGACCGAAAGACGCTGTTGACCCGGCTAAACAAGATGGTTTACAGAATACATTAGCGAGACTGGAAGACCGTTGCAAGACAGAATCCCCTCTACTAACTATGACAGAATCAAGGAGCAACACCGAGACATCCGACATGTACGTGCCCAGACCTCCACCGTTTCAGCGGACTCCGACACCACCAGCTCTGGAATGAGGTAAAGTTTATTGATGGTGATCCTAACTGATAAACACGCCGGGTCAAAGGAGCGATTCACGTAGGACTTCGTCCTAACATCAACAAGGGATGTTGGAATAGAAATTCCCGAAGCATAGAAACCCACGATCAAGAAACAAAAGCAAAGAGAACCGTGCGACAGCGGACCGCAGAGGAAACAGCTCACCGAAACAGCGATAGATCGAAATGCACCTACCACAGCTATTGAAAAACCAATCACAGCGGTGCATCGCACTTTAAGCGCGACGCGTAGTCAGTTGACCTCATCGCATGATGAAGACGAGCAGTATGTAGTCGAGACACCGCGATCTACATCACAAGTGACCGCATCACGGGAGGGGAGCTGCCCCGGGCCACATCGTGAATCAACCGAATATACTTTATCATTCAAGCATACTTAACTAATCTCGAGGAGAACAGCAGGTCATGTTAAAGCAACTACATCAAAAATGTGTTTTTAAAATTGTATTTAATGTGCAGTTGGACAGTTTGTTTAATAACGCCTGCCTACATTTACTAAGCACTGTCCTTTATATACAATATAAACAAGAACTGAAATTGCGTGCCACAATTTTCATTCTCCATTAAGCCATCTTTTTCCGTTTTGTAATCCTTTCACTTTATTCAACAAGCAGTCGGGAAAAATTATCAGTTCCGCATCTTATGAGTTCCATCTCAGATAAATGACTGAACCATACCCATATTTAGCGACTTACTAAAACTATGGTGCCTACAGTATGCTACAAAAGATGAAGCAATGGTTTGACGTTTTCGCTTTGATTAACCAGTCGTACAAAATGCTATTTTCTTGGAGCTTGCTTAAAATTGCCAAATTTGCTCCAATCATGAAACGAATTCAAAGATAACAAAAGAGAGTTCAATTATTTAACTTCTTTTATCACTGAATTAGGGTTTGGTTACCCTCAAAAGAAGTAACTTAATTACATTATAATAATGCTTTTTCACTGCTCTTTCTTCTCTTCAATGAAAGCGAATTACACCTAGAGCCTGAAAAGAAAACAGGTTTTATAATCTATGTTGACAACAAAGAAAAGGTGACAAAATTTGCTCTTTCTAGACAAGCCTCTGATTTTACCAATATCCAAATCATTAAGTGCGTTTGTTAACCTTCTTAAACCTAACAGCGTCAGGATCTAATTTGCCTCCAAAGCAGTCTGGCAAACAGGTCATGAGAAGACAGGAATTCATTACTGAGATCAGTTAAACTCAATCGCATTCAAATTCTCCGTTCAAGTTGTTGCTTTTGTATACAACAATTCGTTTCGTCTTCATTTAGGGGCCTTAGACTGTTACTGATGTATTAGGTCTCAAAGGTTTAACAAAGTCGTCAATGAAACGTTTAATGTCTTAATTGTAGCTCTTAGTCTCTCTAAACGCAGCTAAAATGAATTTACACTACGCTCTTGAATACGGAACAATCGATATTTGAAACTCTATGAGAATTACAGTAATTAGTTCATTTAGTCATAGCATCTTGTTCAATGAACTTTATGAGAAATACGTGAACGCTCATTACTCTCTAAGAGTACAAGGGAAGAGTCTTTTCTACCTAAATTGTTTGCCATTAATTTTCGATTATTTCAACAACACGTTTGTTCCAAGCGTGTTTTTGTGGTTTCATTAAAAAGATTAATAACAAAAGATTACAAATTTCAAACGAAGCCTAAATAATATCAGTTAAACTGAAAACTTAAATATGCATGCGTGATATTAAACGTAAAAATTTAGTTCGAAGATTTGCTCCAGACAACACTCTGTTGGTACAAGCACTGTCTGGATTAGGAAGTTTCTATTTATGCATCCTGTCTCTATAGAAGTTCATCTACTACAAATGATTAAAGAAAATTGCTTGAAGGTGTACCCGCCTGAATTTAACTTCGCAAAATGACAGTCTTAGACGGGTTTCTTGACACGATAATGAACAGGGTGACTTGATAATCGACCAGCGACGCAGAACTGAGACTGTTCCAAAACATGGTAGCCAGTAGTGCAGGCGTATTTTGGGCGAGCGAGTGCTCCCGTATCGAGTGTTTAGGCCTCCGTATTGGATTAGCCACCCGCCCTCTCTCACGCGTCCCACTTCTTGCGAACTCGCCACCAAAACTACCTGCACTGTAGGCTAAAAACATAGTTTAGGTCTAGTCTGCTAAGTTTGATGTCTATAACAAGTACATATACCTGATGCAAGGTTATTAATTTTTAAAGAAAAATTAAGTGAAACACGTTACTATCTGATATATATTCTTGTAGTATCTTGAAATTGATCGAGGCAAATTAACCGTAGTAGCGATTTTCGAGCGTTTGTCCTTTGTTAGAGCAAAGTGTATGTGATAGTAGACGTTTGAGCAAACGTCACTTCTTAAGCTTTCAGTGTTGTAGTCGACAGTACAGGTACCTTTTGCGAGTTGACGGAGCCCGCAATTTTCAGCTTTGAGGTTGCTAAGCAACACGAGATCACGCTAACATTAATGTTAGCGCCATATTTTGATTAGACAATAATAATCTACGAGGATTTGCTGTGTTTCTTGCCCTAGTTTGCGTAACGTATAAGAGGTGTGGGAGGCTTTTGCTTTCCAAGCCATTCCCTCTTAGCTCTACAAACTGAAAACTTGCTTGTAACATAACCAAAAGGCAAAGACGTATCATGAGAGGAATATCCTGACCCGCTGCACCACGGGGTTGCGACATATTGGACAGTTGGCTAGCGAGTTGGAACAGTTGAAACAGCAACAAACGTGACCACAATTCAGCAACACCACGTCCGACTGTTAAAACAAGAAAGAACAAAGTCAAGACAAAGACATCTTCAAACCATCCCGAGTGCATTTCTCAAGCACTTCGTTCCCGCCGGAACACAACCTCGAGGACGTAAATTAAGTATATTGCACAAAAAGTGGGTGCTTTCTTATTAGAAATTGCACAACGAAAGTAGTGACAGAGCTAACTTCTGGGCGGAAAATAAAGCAACTGACCGATAACTTAAAATTAAAAAGCTTCACTTCATTGGCTTGGAATAAAACACCTCCCTTCTGATTGGCTAAGGGAGACGCGGTGGCCTCATGGTTAGTGTGCTCGATTCCAGATCGAGCGGTCCGGGTTCGAGCCCTAGCTGGGGACATTGTTGTGTTTTTGGGCAAGACACTTTCACGTCAGAAACCGGGATAAGCTCCGGCCCGATGGGCCACTTGGCTCGTATGCAGACGTAACCTACCCAAACTTTGACTGGCTAGAGAACGCGTACGAGTTGAAATTTTGATCGACCTTTGCACTCAGTATAAGGATTCAGTCTTTCGCGTAAAGCAAGGCGAATAAGCCTTTACCTTCTGATCCATGCAGATCACGCATTCTGTTGTCATGTCCCGGTTCTCCAGTACAGGTGCTGATGGCGAGGGTTGTGTTGGCAGCACAGGAGCTCGAGGGACTGGTGCCTATTAATCAGAGAAATAGCGTCACTATAAGAAGTACTAGATTAACCAAAATAAGGTAGCAACAAACATTAAATAGAAAGTACTGTCGGGAAGCATTGAGATTCTCGGAAAAACAAAACTGTTTCCATCGGCACCAGTAATTAAGTGTATGATTTCATGGGTGACAAATTACTCCTTAATGTTGGCGAGAAATTTCAGCGTTTACTTATATCACACGTGATATTACAAAATCGCCATAGCAACGTTTGGCGCGAAATTTCTCGATACAATAACCAAGAGTAAAAAAAAAAACGATTGTAAGCGTAATTTGTCACCTATGATATTAAAATGTAATCAAATGTTATTCTCGTAAAATTAAGAAGTGATAATTTCACTTATGTTTAGTCAAAATTCTAATAAAAATTTTGAGAAAACGCGGGTGAGATTATTTCCTAATTTCACTCGTCACCATTTGCGTATGTCACTGCGTCACTGCGTTTGCGTATGTCAACTAATGTTTACGCTTAAGCACTACTGAAAACCAGCTTTAATTAACACGGTTCCTGTCAGCTGTAGTATTGTTTCACAACTCAGTGAAATAAATCCAGGTCTTCCTAAAATCTTGTTTGAACTACTCAAAATCGATGCAAATGCCGCAATAATGGTTTTATATCAACATGCCGGCATATTGTTCTCCATACCTCAGGTCTTTCAATCTCTTTTGCCTTTTCCTTTGCCTTGGTGTCAAAACGGAGTCGTTCTTGGACCACGCTCAGGATTGCCTTACGAACTCCAAGCTCGTGTATACCCAGCTACGAAAAACGGAAATTAAAACTTAACACAACGTTAAGCTGACTTTACTGTGTCACGTTTGATTATGAAAAAGAAATAATGCCAAGGATATGAATGAACACTCTAACAGCAAAGTGGAAAGACAAAAATACGTTGATGAGAAGAACCTGCCTTTACACTGATGGAGCTGTAATCCCTTCGATTCCAAGCTAATATTGTACCTTGTTATAACTAACTCCATACATCCCATACATGCCTCGTTCACATGGCCTTTCTTCAACACAGTAACGAGGCAACCTCGTTTCTAGGATTTCTCTTCGTCCCAGAAGGAGAGACCCTGAAAACGAGGTTGGCAACGAGGTTGTACTTTGTACCATTATGTCCCTTACCTCTTTGAGTTCTTTGTCTGTCATAGTTTTAAGCATTTCCCACGTGATGCGATGACGAGCGAAGTGTGAAGCGTAGTCTTGGGCCTCTGCCTCGGCAAGTACGTCAGAAATGACACTATCGCACTCCTGTTAAATGACGACACAGAACGGTTAAGAGCTGAACCGTTTTTATGGTAAAAAGGGTTCGGTTCCTTAAAATCTCCCAAAGCGAAGATAGGTATTTTATAGACGATTCTACGTTACGAGTTAGTCTAGCCTAACGCTCCACGGGAAATTTCTAACATAAGATCAGGTGTTCTTTCATTTCGCGGTGATAACGAAAAAAAAGGAACTGCGCTTGTTCGCAGGTTACACTACATGCTGCCCTACTGTTTGGCAGCTTCATTGTTCAAGAAGTCGAAGACCATGTATACAGTTATAAATAAGGTACAGAAAAATACCTATAATGTGGTTGGGAGGGGAGAATGATTAACGCCATTCGTTGGCACAACATTAGACAACATGCTTTGACGAACTGCGACCGACCAGCATCCCAGACAAGGTAAGTCGCAATTCTCCTTAATGAGCCCAAGAGACTACTGAGAGACGCTTTCTATTCTGTCAAGAACCCCGGAAATTCAGGTTGGGAGGTAAATAGTAATTTCGGGTTTGCCCAACTGGATGATTCCCGAAAAAAATAAACGAACTCCAAAAAGGCTAGTGCTAAGAGGTACCGTGGTTTCGGAGAGTTTTCCACTTGGGCGAACCAAAGAAGAGTTTGCCACTTACTCCGAACCAAACTCGGTGGAATTTTGGACCAAATGGCAAGTTCCCAGCCCAGAGCTCCGTGTCAGCCTGATAATGTACTGAGTCGAGTAAGACTTAGCTGAGAACACGCACCTTTTCAAGCAGAGTAAGAGGTTTACTCTGCAGTAACCTCTGATACTGTATCAACCAATAATCCTCGATATCAGTTTCTCTTTTGTGCTCCATCTCAACCTGTAACAAAATAGAGAGTACGTTTACCTGAGTGTCAAGTCACTCAATACTACTAAGCAATCTCATTTCTGACTTCATCATCGTCGCTGTCATTCGGTGACTGTGAAACAATTAAGTCAGATTGAATGAAGAACTTACGAGTCTCTTCATCAGTTCGTCTTCCCTTTTGTGCTGTTCTCCAACAAGCTGAACCAGCAGACCAGTTAAAGCTTCTCTCTTCGACTCCAGGACAGTCTGAAAGACAACAACACCACAGTCTCTCTACAAGTGGAAGGAAAACAACTTGAACCAGCTAAAGGAAGTTTGTGTATAGTAACATGGAAACGAGGTACCTTTAACCCCAATGCCTCCCTCGCATGTTTAGAATGTGGTAATCGGCAAAGAAATAAGAGCTATAAAACTCAAGTGAGAAAAGATTCAGCGACCGAAAGCAATCGATTCAAACTGAAATTTGTTCAAGAATTAAAAAGAGTTCTCTTGACAAATAACAACAGTTGTGGTGACTTGCATTTCTGTTGTCAACCCAGATGTTCCAGGCGGTAACCAAGTTGGACATGATGTGAAAAACCATGANACGCTGTTGACCCGGCTAAACAAGATGGTTTACAGAATACATTAGCGAGACTGGAAGACCGTTGCAAGACAGAATCCCCTCTACTAACTATGACAGAATCAAGGAGCAACACCGAGACATCCGACATGTACGTGCCCAGACCTCCACCGTTTCAGCGGACTCCGACACCACCAGCTCTGGAATGAGGTAAAGTTTATTGATGGTGATCCTAACTGATAAACACGCCGGGTCAAAGGAGCGATTCACGTAGGACTTCGTCCTAACATCAACAAGGGATGTTGGAATAGAAATTCCCGAAGCATAGAAACCCACGATCAAGAAACAAAAGCAAAGAGAACCGTGCGACAGCGGACCGCAGAGGAAACAGCTCACCGAAACAGCGATAGATCGAAATGCACCTACCACAGCTATTGAAAAACCAATCACAGCGGTGCATCGCACTTTAAGCGCGACGCGTAGTCAGTTGACCTCATCGCATGATGAAGACGAGCAGTATGTAGTCGAGACACCGCGATCTACATCACAAGTGACCGCATCACGGGAGGGGAGCCGCCCCGGGCCACATCGTGAATCAACCGAATATACTTTATCATTCAAGCATACTTAACTAATCTCGAGGAGAACAGCAGGTCATGTTAAAGCAACTACATCAAAAATGTGTTTTTAAAATTGTATTTAATGTGCAGTTGGACAGTTTGTTTAATAACGCCTGCCTACATTTACTAAGCACTGTCCTTTATATACAATATAAACAAGAACTGAAATTGCGTGCCACAATTTTCATTCTCCATTAAGCCATCTTTTTCCGTTTTGTAATCCTTTCACTTTATTCAACAAGCAGTCGGGAAAAATTATCAGTTCCGCATCTTATGAGTTCCATCTCAGATAAATGACTGAACCATACCCATATTTAGCGACTTACTAAAACTATGGTGCCTACAGTATGCTACAAAAGATGAAGCAATGGTTTGACGTTTTCGCTTTGATTAACCAGTCGTACAAAATGCTATTTTCTTGGAGCTTGCTTAAAATTGCCAAATTTGCTCCAATCATGAAACGAATTCAAAGATAACAAAAGAGAGTTCAATTATTTAACTTCTTTTATCACTGAATTAGGGTTTGGTTACCCTCAAAAGAAGTAACTTAATTACATTATAATAATGCTTTTTCACTGCTCTTTCTTCTCTTCAATGAAAGCGAATTACACCTAGAGCCTGAAAAGAAAACAGGTTTTATAATCTATGTTGACAACAAAGAAAAGGTGACAAAATTTGCTCTTTCTAGACAAGCCTCTGATTTTACCAATATCCAAATCATTAAGTGCGTTTGTTAACCTTCTTAAACCTAACAGCGTCAGGATCTAATTTGCCTCCAAAGCAGTCTGGCAAACAGGTCATGAGAAGACAGGAATTCATTACTGAGATCAGTTAAACTCAATCGCATTCAAATTCTCCGTTCAAGTTGTTGCTTTTGTATACAACAATTCGTTTCGTCTTCATTTAGGGGCCTTAGACTGTTACTGATGTATTAGGTCTCAAAGGTTTAACAAAGTCGTCAATGAAACGTTTAATGTCTTAATTGTAGCTCTTAGTCTCTCTAAACGCAGCTAAAATGAATTTACACTACGCTCTTGAATACGGAACAATCGATATTTGAAACTCTATGAGAATTACAGTAATTAGTTCATTTAGTCATAGCATCTTGTTCAATGAACTTTATGAGAAATACGTGAACGCTCATTACTCTCTAAGAGTACAAGGGAAGAGTCTTTTCTACCTAAATTGTTTGCCATTAATTTTCGATTATTTCAACAACACGTTTGTTCCAAGCGTGTTTTTGTGGTTTCATTAAAAAGACTAATAACAAAAGATTACAAATTTCAAACGAAGCCTAAATAATATCAGTTAAACTGAAAACTTAAATATGCATGCGTGATATTAAACGTAAAAATTTAGTTCGAAGATTTGCTCCAGACAACACTCTGTTGGTACAAGCACTGTCTGGATTAGGAAGTTTCTATTTATGCATCCTGTCTCTATAGAAGTTCATCTACTACAAATGATTAAAGAAAATTGCTTGAAGGTGTACCCGCCTGAATTTAACTTCGCAAAATGACAGTCTTAGACGGGTTTCTTGACACGATAATGAACAGGGTGACTTGATAATCGACCAGCGACGCAGAACTGAGACTGTTCCAAAACATGGTAGCCAGTAGTGCAGGCGTATTTTGGGCGAGCGAGTGCTCCCGTATCGAGTGTTTAGGCCTCCGTATTGGATTAGCCACCCGCCCTCTCTCACGCGTCCCACTTCTTGCGAACTCGCCACCAAAACTACCTGCACTGTAGGCTAAAAACATAGTTTAGGTCTAGTCTGCTAAGTTTGATGTCTATAACAAGTACATATACCTGATGCAAGGTTATTAATTTTTAAAGAAAAATTAAGTGAAACACGTTACTATCTGATATATATTCTTGTAGTATCTTGAAATTGATCGAGGCAAATTAACCGTAGTAGCGATTTTCGAGCGTTTGTCCTTTGTTAGAGCAAAGTGTATGTGATAGTAGACGTTTGAGCAAACGTCACTTCTTAAGCTTTCAGTGTTGTAGTCGACAGTACAGGTACCTTTTGCGAGTTGACGGAGCCCGCAATTTTCAGCTTTGAGGTTGCTAAGCAACACGAGATCACGCTAACATTAATGTTAGCGCCATATTTTGATTAGACAATAATAATCTACGAGGATTTGCTGTGTTTCTTGCCCTAGTTTGCGTAACGTATAAGAGGTGTGGGAGGCTTTTGCTTTCCAAGCCATTCCCTCTTAGCTCTACAAACTGAAAACTTGCTTGTAACATAACCAAAAGGCAAAGACGTATCATGAGAGGAATATCCTGACCCGCTGCACCACGGGGTTGCGACATATTGGACAGTTGGCTAGCGAGTTGGAACAGTTGAAACAGCAACAAACGTGACCACAATTCAGCAACACCACGTCCGACTGTTAAAACAAGAAAGAACAAAGTCAAGACAAAGACATCTTCAAACCATCCCGAGTGCATTTCTCAAGCACTTCGTTCCCGCCGGAACACAACCTCGAGGACGTAAATTAAGTATATTGCACAAAAAGTGGGTGCTTTCTTATTAGAAATTGCACAACGAAAGTAGTGACAGAGCTAACTTCTGGGCGGAAAATAAAGCAACTGACCGATAACTTAAAATTAAAAAGCTTCACTTCATTGGCTTGGAATAAAACACCTCCCTTCTGATTGGCTAAGGGAGACGCGGTGGCCTCATGGTTAGTGTGCTCGATTCCAGATCGAGCGGTCCGGGTTCGAGCCCTAGCTGGGGACATTGTTGTGTTTTTGGGCAAGACACTTTCACGTCAGAAACCGGGATAAGCTCCGGCCCGATGGGCCACTTGGCTCGTATGCAGACGTAACCTACCCAAACTTTGACTGGCTAGAGAACGCGTACGAGTTGAAATTTTGATCGACCTTTGCACTCAGTATAAGGATTCAGTCTTTCGCGTAAAGCAAGGCGAATAAGCCTTTACCTTCTGATCCATGCAGATCACGCATTCTGTTGTCATGTCCCGGTTCTCCAGTACAGGTGCTGATGGCGAGGGTTGTGTTGGCAGCACAGGAGCTCGAGGGACTGGTGCCTATTAATCAGAGAAATAGCGTCACTATAAGAAGTACTAGATTAACCAAAATAAGGTAGCAACAAACATTAAATAGAAAGTACTGTCGGGAAGCATTGAGATTCTCGGAAAAACAAAACTGTTTCCATCGGCACCAGTAATTAAGTGTATGATTTCATGGGTGACAAATTACTCCTTAATGTTGGCGAGAAATTTCAGCGTTTACTTATATCACACGTGATATTACAAAATCGCCATAGCAACGTTTGGCGCGAAATTTCTCGATACAATAACCAAGAGTAAAAAAAAAAACGATTGTAAGCGTAATTTGTCACCTATGATATTAAAATGTAATCAAATGTTATTCTCGTAAAATTAAGAAGTGATAATTTCACTTATGTTTAGTCAAAATTCTAATAAAAATTTTGAGAAAACGCGGGTGAGATTATTTCCTAATTTCACTCGTCACCATTTGCGTATGTCACTGCGTCACTGCGTTTGCGTATGTCAACTAATGTTTACGCTTAAGCACTACTGAAAACCAGCTTTAATTAACACGGTTCCTGTCAGCTGTAGTATTGTTTCACAACTCAGTGAAATAAATCCAGGTCTTCCTAAAATCTTGTTTGAACTACTCAAAATCGATGCAAATGCCGCAATAATGGTTTTATATCAACATGCCGGCATATTGTTCTCCATACCTCAGGTCTTTCAATCTCTTTTGCCTTTTCCTTTGCCTTGGTGTCAAAACGGAGTCGTTCTTGGACCACGCTCAGGATTGCCTTACGAACTCCAAGCTCGTGTATACCCAGCTACGAAAAACGGAAATTAAAACTTAACACAACGTTAAGCTGACTTTACTGTGTCACGTTTGATTATGAAAAAGAAATAATGCCAAGGATATGAATGAACACTCTAACAGCAAAGTGGAAAGACAAAAATACGTTGATGAGAAGAACCTGCCTTTACACTGATGGAGCTGTAATCCCTTCGATTCCAAGCTAATATTGTACCTTGTTATAACTAACTCCATACATCCCATACATGCCTCGTTCACATGGCCTTTCTTCAACACAGTAACGAGGCAACCTCGTTTCTAGGATTTCTCTTCGTCCCAGAAGGAGAGACCCTGAAAACGAGGTTGGCAACGAGGTTGTACTTTGTACCATTATGTCCCTTACCTCTTTGAGTTCTTTGTCTGTCATAGTTTTAAGCATTTCCCACGTGATGCGATGACGAGCGAAGTGTGAAGCGTAGTCTTGGGCCTCTGCCTCGGCAAGTACGTCAGAAATGACACTATCGCACTCCTGTTAAATGACGACACAGAACGGTTAAGAGCTGAACCGTTTTTATGGTAAAAAGGGTTCGGTTCCTTAAAATCTCCCAAAGCGAAGATAGGTATTTTATAGACGATTCTACGTTACGAGTTAGTCTAGCCTAACGCTCCACGGGAAATTTCTAACATAAGATCAGGTGTTCTTTCATTTCGCGGTGATAACGAAAAAAAAGGAACTGCGCTTGTTCGCAGGTTACACTACATGCTGCCCTACTGTTTGGCAGCTTCATTGTTCAAGAAGTCGAAGACCATGTATACAGTTATAAATAAGGTACAGAAAAATACCTATAATGTGGTTGGGAGGGGAGAATGATTAACGCCATTCGTTGGCACAACATTAGACAACATGCTTTGACGAACTGCGACCGACCAGCATCCCAGACAAGGTAAGTCGCAATTCTCCTTAATGAGCCCAAGAGACTACTGAGAGACGCTTTCTATTCTGTCAAGAACCCCGGAAATTCAGGTTGGGAGGTAAATAGTAATTTCGGGTTTGCCCAACTGGATGATTCCCGAAAAAAATAAACGAACTCCAAAAAGGCTAGTGCTAAGAGGTACCGTGGTTTCGGAGAGTTTTCCACTTGGGCGAACCAAAGAAGAGTTTGCCACTTACTCCGAACCAAACTCGGTGGAATTTTGGACCAAATGGCAAGTTCCCAGCCCAGAGCTCCGTGTCAGCCTGATAATGTACTGAGTCGAGTAAGACTTAGCTGAGAACACGCACCTTTTCAAGCAGAGTAAGAGGTTTACTCTGCAGTAACCTCTGATACTGTATCAACCAATAATCCTCGATATCAGTTTCTCTTTTGTGCTCCATCTCAACCTGTAACAAAATAGAGAGTACGTTTACCTGAGTGTCAAGTCACTCAATACTACTAAGCAATCTCATTTCTGACTTCATCATCGTCGCTGTCATTCGGTGACTGTGAAACAATTAAGTCAGATTGAATGAAGAACTTACGAGTCTCTTCATCAGTTCGTCTTCCCTTTTGTGCTGTTCTCCAACAAGCTGAACCAGCAGACCAGTTAAAGCTTCTCTCTTCGACTCCAGGACAGTCTGAAAGACAACAACACCACAGTCTCTCTACAAGTGGAAGGAAAACAACTTGAACCAGCTAAAGGAAGTTTGTGTATAGTAACATGGAAACGAGGTACCTTTAACCCCAATGCCTCCCTCGCATGTTTAGAATGTGGTAATCGGCAAAGAAATAAGAGCTATAAAACTCAAGTGAGAAAAGATTCAGCGACCGAAAGCAATCGATTCAAACTGAAATTTGTTCAAGAATTAAAAAGAGTTCTCTTGACAAATAACAACAGTTGTGGTGACTTGCATTTCTGTTGTCAACCCAGATGTTCCAGGCGGTAACCAAGTTGGACATGATGTGAAAAACCATGAAGTGGGAGAAAAACCGTGCGTTCAGTTCACAGATTCTCCCCTGCGTTTCCGCTGAGAAGTGATTGTACGACTAAGCAACTGACATACCCTCTCAACATCCTGCCGTTCGTCTCTCTTCTCCAGTTCTGTGAGCGTCAGTTTCGCCAGTTCGTCTTGCAGCATTGAAATCTGTTGTCAAACAAACGAACAGGAATTTTCACGTTGGATAGATAACAAAAATTGACAGTTACACGAGTGATGGAATTACGCCAGGGACCACGAAGTACATCGATACCCTCCAAATACAGACTGAAAACGGAAGAATGATAGAATGATTTGTACAGAAAGAGTTATAAAAAGTTATACTAGCTAGATTCCAGAAGGCCTTAATGAGAAAACAACCCACAAGGGAATTTGTTCTGGCCATCCTTTGCCGTGCAATAATCGTTATTTCGCTTCATTACCTGGCCTGTGATTCTGCGATGTTTTGCGTCCGTCTGAAGTTGAAGAGCTTGAATTGCTTCCATCTGTGCACGTTCCTAAACATCAAAAGACGAATATTAAATATTGATGACACACTGCAATGTAGACGACGCGAAATCAGAAAACTTCTAAATAAAACAAAGAGGGCAAGAAAAGTCGCGGCAAAATCAAAAGAAATCGACGCCCACAACGAGAACTATTAAGTCAGTCAAGTGCTTGACTAAACAAGAGACAAGGCATCAGTAAAAACTCATAATTCCCGGCATTTAATGCCAGATATCGGGAAAGCTATGTCTCATTGTCTTGTTTGCGATACTCGTGCAGTGAATGTTGTTCTGCTTGTTTGTCGAAGGTTGCGCCTTGCTTTACATTGGCACTTTACAAAGCCAGTGAGACAATACCTCCAAAATCAGTTACAAGGGAGCACTTCATGAGGACTTCATCTAAACGTCCACTTATAGAAAGTGTCCCGGAACTGTTGGTACCATGAATGCGTTCCTATACCTACTGTAATATGTCATTGAGAAAATAAAACAAGACGGACACATTGGAAGCAAACAACCAAATGTCTGACCTCTCTGGAGATCTCAGAAATAAGAGTATCTCTGTCGTCGTACTGTTCATTCAAAATGCCAAGCAACCGTGCATCAGCTTCTACAGACCTGGCAAAGAATAAACAACAGAACACCCTAATTAATTGATTTGTCAGCGAAAACAGTACTTTTGTTAAGGTGAGACAACGCATTGACTTGGTTTGCATGTCTTCATCTGGCAGCAACAGTTTTGGCGGGAAATTCACAAACGCCATACGTTTGACCGCTGCGGTGGCTAACTGTGAGCTGAACCAATTGTCGGAGATGTCTCACGCGCAGATCCCTGCTGCTGACTGCATCACAGTCGCGTGTTGTCAGAGATGTTACAAACAGAGAGATTCTGAAGAATGAAGAAGTATATACTTACTCATTCATGGCCTGACTAGCAGTCTTCTCTCTCGTTCGTTCATATTCTCTTATAAGTCGACTTTGACTTTCTTGACTTTCTAAAAGGCGAGCCATGGAAGCTACCACGAAAAAAAAAAGCAAACATAAATAAAGTTTCAAACATGTTGGTCCGAGTGTCTCTAATTCATAAAGCCCCACAAAAGTAAATACTACTAAAGTGAAACATCTTTTCGTTACACGAGTGTAGTTTCTTTCCATTCTTCAGATCCACTTAGGGCTAAAAAGCCCACCTCACCTCACCCCACCCTTATAGTATCAGTACCCACCCCAGAGTGCACTTATTCAAGAGAAACTCGAACAAAATGCTTGTGCATTGAGCGAAAGCAGTGGAAAGAATTATTACCAACCTAGAACTTCCTCCTTTCGTAGTTTCTCAGCTTCTTCCTGTGTGACCTTGATCAGCTCTTCAGTTCTCATTCTGTACAGTAAAACAACGTGTATCGGATTATTTAATTCCCTCTAAACAACTCTCTCTTCTCTCCTTGTGACTCATGGATTAGGGGAGGCAGCATGGCCGGTAGTTAAGACGCCGGACTCGAAATCCCGAGGTCGCGGGTTCAAGTCCCGCTTTGACCACTTATCTGGAGTTGTTTCTCGGTAGACCCTAGTTTAACTTCACGGTAATGCTTGTAAATAGCCAACTGGCCTGCCTACTGCCAGCTGGGATTTCTAAGCCTATTATGTTTCTAAAGTTGATATATTCGTTTCTTTCAGTATAAGTTGCACGCCTCTGAACTAGCTTGGTGTAGCTAAGCGCATTGACCACTATAAACAACAACACTTGAACATTTTCTTTAACTTGACTAGCGGACTCAGCGGTATGGGAATGGAACCGCGTTTTTCTGAGCAAGTCACTCTGTGTCTTTCTACAAAGGTTTACAAATGGGATCCGGCAAATTGTTGGGAAACCTACGATAAAATAGTGTCCCATGCCTTGTTCCATAATTAATGCCACATTTGCAGTGATCGCGTGTAAGATTATTTGTTTTTGCTGATGGAAAATGGAGTTTTGAAATGCAGTCCTAACCTACGTGTAAGTGCAACATAAAGTGTCAGTGTGGTTTTGACTTTTCTTTGTCAAGGAACCTTTAAGTAACGGAACACGGTACCTTTCTTTCTCCATTTCATCAAGTATCATTTCCGCCTTCTGAGCTCTGAAATATAATTAAGAAAATTTAATGGTTAGTACTTCCTAACTGAGGGATTAAGCATGTACCACCTGACTTAAATACTTATTTGTTACGTAAATTTTCTCACCAAAAAAAAAGAGTATGAAGTAGAATGTAAATTAAGTCACGTTGAAAAAACCATCCCGACAAAGAGGCTTTGTTGGATTTACCTTTCATTAACTTGTAATATCATCGCCACAGTGTCATTGGTGAGCTGTTCATCTGCAACAAAATAATAATTCATCACCTCTCCTGTTAAAAGGCACAATCAAACAATTAAAAGTTCTTGGCGAGCAAAACTAGAAATATGCCAGGGGTCAATATATATTTTTAAGTTTTGATAATACTGCCAAGAGTTTAAAGGATTTCTGGTGCTAATGATCTGTATAGCCTTCCCTTTTTGAGCTGTCACATGTGTGGTAAAGCTTTAGAATGGCAAAGCCACCAGGAATGGGCTTCTTGTCCCCAGGACCTCTCTTTTTACTGCCTCTCTCTCAGTCTATAGGGTATAGGGATGATGTTGCATCTGATTATGGGAGGGTGGGAAGAGAGGAGGGGGGAGGGCTCTCTGCCATTTTGCAGCGATCTCCTTGCTGGCCAGAGTTTACCACTTGGACTATATAGCCTAACACATCAGCCACACGCAGGCTATAAACATATCTACAGTGAATGAATACCTGCTGCCATTACTGACACCAGTTTTTGTCTTTCAAGATCTTGTTGCTGTTGTTTCCATAATGTGCGGTCATCCATTTCTGCTTCGGCCTATAGAAAACACTTTATTGTTAATATTCTAAGTTCAGAGGCAGCATTCCTTGTGTCTCTCTGCAACTTTACATTTCCTTTTTATTGAACATTAAGATACAACTTTTGGAAGATTTTTTTAAGCTACAAACAAGATGTACAGTAGCTGTCATGAGCAAGAAAAACCTAAACTCACTCTACAAGTACAGCAAGTTCAACATGATTGAACACTGAGTTAGCCTGCAAGAAAGCTCTCTTGGAAATTCTTGTCCAAGAGGGCTCGCTTGCAGGGCACTATAATGTCTGTTTCACAAACATTTTCAGGTTAGGACTGCTTTTAGTTTGATAACAATCATATTCAAATCTATAGCAGAGATTAGGGACTTTTAGGAATGACGATGGCGATGCCAAGATGACACATTGCACAAAATCGATTTATATTTTACTGTGGAATGTCACAGTTATGTAGATCTGTTTAGTATGCCTATCAGTCTAAAAACTTGCTCAGGCTAAAGATGTAATGACAGCATTCAATTCCAAAAGAAAAACTGATGAAAGTTAGCTGTTGCAGTTCAGGTTAACCAAAAGACGCAGAACTCATCACATTGTTGCTTTGCAGATGACAAGTAAGAAATGTAACAAAAGTCAGAACTCACATGCAGAACCATTGTTCTACTCAGGAAACCTTTTGTTTGGTGATGTTCACGTTGGCAGCCATAGTGATTTGCTAAAGCTTCCTATCGTTTTGTGGTGAACAACCTGCACT